TGGCAGGAGACCTGTGTGGATGAGCAAGGAGCTCGTGTGCAAACTGAAAGGAAAGAAGAAGGCCTATGAAATGTGGAAAAAGGGTCTGAGCACTTGGGAAGAATATAGGAATGTTGTCAGGGCCTGCAGGGATGCGACGAGGAAGACTAAAGCCCACCTGGAATTAAATCTGGCTAAAGTGATAAAGGGTAATAAAAAAGGCTTTTTAAAGTATGTTAACAGTAAAAGGAAGACTAGGGAGAATGTGGCTACCCTGCTAAGTGAGGGGGGTGTTCTGGTAATGGGGGATTACCCTGACTGCCTTCTTTGCTTCTCTCTTCAGTGAAAAAGCTCTCCCTCAGGAATCCGAGACCCTGGAGGTTAGTGAGAGGGTCGGTCTGAGGAATGGAAGACCTCCCTTCAGTCAGGGAAGAGGCGGTCCGAGAGCATCTAGGCAACACCAATGTTCAGAAATCCATAGGACCTGATGGGATGCATCCACAGGTGCTGAGGGAGCTGGCAGAGTTGATTGCTGAACCGCTCTCTATCATCTTTGAGAGGCTTGGAGAATGGGGGAGGTGCCTGAAGACTGGAGGATAGCCAATGTCACTCTATTCTTCACAAAGGGCAAGAAGGAAGATCCAGGTAATTACAGGCAAGTCAGCCTCATGTCTGTCCCTGGAAAGGTGATGGAACAGCTGGTGCTGGATGCCATCTCCAGACAACTGGGAGGAAAGGAGCTTATCAGGAGTAGTCAGCATGAGTTCACCAGGGGGAGGTCATGCTTGACCAACCTGGTAACCTTCTATGATGTTGTCACTGGCTGGGTGGATGGGGGGAGAGCACTGGATGTAGTCTACCTTGATTTCAGCAAGGCATTTGATGCTGTCTCCCACAACATCCTTATAACAAAGCTGAGGAAGTGTGGGATAGATGAGTGGACAGTGAGGTGGGTTGAGAACTGGCTGACTGGCAGAGAAAGGCCAAGTGAACTGGGTCTGTTCAGCCTTGAGAAAAGATGACTGAGAGGGGACCAGGTCTATAAATATCTAAGGTGTGGGGGGCACAGTGGTGAGGCCAGACTCTTTTCAGCAGTGTGTGGAGACAGGACAAGGGGAAACAGACAGAAACTGCAGCATAGGAAGTTCAGCACAAATGTGCACAAGAACTTCTTTACAGTGAGGTGACGGAGCACTGGAACAGGCTGCCCAGGGAGGTGGTGGAGTCTCCTTCTCTGGAGATGTTCAAGACCTGCCTGGATGCCAACCTGTGCGACCTGCTGTAGGGAACCTGCTTTGGCAGGGGGTTGGACTCGATGATCTCTGGAGGTCCCTTCCAACCTCTACGATTCTGTGATTCTATGAAGATGTGATGACCATTGAGAAGTAAAATCATTGTTTGGTATAGCCCAATATATATGGATCTGCAGAACATATTAGCATACTAAAATCAACATCCTCACTAGAATTTTCATATCAAACAAATAGCTCTCAATCACTATGAAATTCTCAAACTGTTATTTCCACAATTTTCCACTGGAATACATGATCCGTAGATAGTTATGCAGTACCTTTATGCAATATCATCAGAGACAACATACAGTCTCAAAGCTGAAAAAGAGGACTCTGTCACCACAGACTTTTAGTTGTTTTACAGAAACACCTTTTTATTCAAGAAATTTGCTCTGTAAATTGTCCTAACAAAGGTCACTGCTGGAGAAATTCTCCCTTTAAAGGGAAATTCATGATGATTTTCTTTCTCCATATTTTTTAGGAGACTGGATTTCTCACATACAAACTACTCTTTGGTGTGTCTGCGTGCTCAGTTCAAAGAAATGAAATACACATATGGGGTAAATGATAGTATTTGTTATCTACAGGTAACTTTTTGGCACAGAAAGACCATCTGGTGCTGAGGTAGTAGTGTAGAACGATGTGGTAGAAACATGATTTCCTACAGGAAAAAAAAAAAACAAACCATGCTTCTTTTATTCTTCACACTGACCAGTAGCCCAGATGGGAAGGTTGGAAGGCACACTCGACACCCCAACAGATGGTTCTAAGTAGGGACGGCAAAACCCAGTGCACAGAAAGTCAGACTTCACAGGAGGATTTCAACCAAGGAACATCTGTATCTTAGGAGAGGTCATGTTAGCAGCGAAGATGTCACAGGATGAAGTCCAAAGCAAAAGCAATTGTGAAGATAACATAGTTCAGGATTTGTTACATCTGAGCAGCAAAACAGAAATGACAATGTAATTGTCCTTCCTTGGATAAAGCTCCAAGGAACCCCCAGCAACCAAAATCTGCGTCACAGCTTGGGTTTCCTGAGCAATTCTAGTTTCTAGCGTGATCTTCAAGAGGGTAAGGTTAGTCATCATGGAAAGGACAAATAAATACAATTACAAAATCTGAGCAAGAATAGTCACTTAGATCTTGGATGCAAGAAAACTACTGAACGGCTTTTTTGCTCAGAGGTAAAAGCTACCCAACTCAAACTAAATATCTTGAAAAGAACCAGTGCCTTTGTGATTTGCATATAGAACTGAACACAATGCAAGTCCTATCACCGAAGGATGATGCTTTTGGTAACTGGATACTCTGTTGTGAAATAACTGCTACTCAGTAACAGCCCAATAAGCACACAGAATACCTTAAACGATGAAGCTTTGAACTTTTTGTAGTAGAGATCAAATACTTTTGAACAACATGCATGACAAATGCAAAAAATATTGTGTGGTGAATTGAAGTTTTAGAATGCCCAAGACAGTATCTGAAAATAATGTGATGTTCACAGTCAATCTTCTCGTATCTTTGGTTAGAGTGGATACCATTATTACTGGAAAACAGTATGATTGCTTTTTTTAAAGAACATCTTCATGCAGCCCAACTGAAAGACAAACCTATGATACTCTAATAATTGATTTCTTCTCCCACTTGTGAGTATTCCTGAATTAATATTCTTTTTTAAAAATCAACATATAATTTGGTTTTAAAAAGGCACTGTAGCCTTGTCCAATGTGCAGAATATTTCCAGCTAAAAGTTCACCAGCTATAAATTAGTGTAATTCACATATAAAAATGTGTTTATGTTTACATATTAGGCCATAAACTAGTCTCAACTTTCTTAAAAAGTAGGCACTTAAAACAACCTGCATTTGGCCAAAAATAACTCCAGCAGCACTTATCAGATCAATACGCACAGCTGATCATCATGTATTATCATCCCAAATTAGAAACTGAAGCTTCAGTCTTCCTTGTTCTTTCTTATTCCCCTTGTTTCACAGAAAAGTGTATTGTGTTTGAAGACCACATCTCGAATTTTCCGGCAGAATAAGTCACAGCAGCTGTCCCCTGTGTAATTTCAAATAGACCTTGTTGAATCATCTGAACCATGTGCATGTTCTTGAACAGGAAGACTCCAATACCCATTTGCTCTAAGAGGTTGCAGCTAAGGCTAAGCACCGATGCTAAACGCTACTCATCAGGCACTGACTTACAGGAACTCTTTCTTTTGTCACACATTGTTTAACCACGAGTTGTGATGGTCCAAAATGGACAGTATTCTTCTTTGTCCTGAGCCACAGAAAACCTCCTTGGTTATTTTGATGTTTGACCAGATATATTGGTGCAGAACCCATCCTACTTGTCCCTGAGCCAAAAATATTTGTTCCAACAGTGCTGGCTGTTTCAACAGGCAGTTAACATCAGGGTGAAGCCATGTCGTTATTTTCCAGAATAACCAGGGTAAGGAGGGGGTGGGGGATACTGTATCGAAGTCTGTGGAGTTGGAGTATAAGGTGGAGGTAGATCAACTGGGTACTCCATTTCATGTTCATAATTGTACGGTGGTGGAGTCACTAAAATGGGAGAAGGAAGAAGAAGTAGTTAAAAAAAAGTATTTTTTGTATGCATGCATTTTCTAGTTGACATTCAGGCTTCCATAGAACAGATATAAAGTCTACTGACTTCATATTTACTTACTATTTACTTTCTTCAGACAGTCACTATACATTCACTCTATGTCAGCACAAGTCCTTGCTCACTGCCCTTTTTCACTGCTTATCCTTGTGACCGCAGACATGCACTGTTAACAATGTTTGAGTGGCCATATGGCACATGATACCAGGATGATGCAGCAGAGAACTACTGTTTTTCAGAGGAGAAAGGTTGGGTTTTCATCAGATCTCTTCCATCTCATTCTCTTCATCATCAACACAGATTTATGTTGCCTGAAAACAATTATGTAGGCAGGGCCTTCGCTGATCTCTGAAACATCCTTTGGATCCCCAGAAGATGTGCGACGTGCCATGTCAAACAAGGCAGAAAGTTCCTTGCAGCACAGCAGCATCACAGCTTCTGGGGCAAATCTGGACATCTTTCTAGAATGCTCCCAGGTCTCAAGCTGAGGAATAACAGAGTTTTCACTTTGTTCTCTCTAAAGGAGACTTCTGAGGAGAGCCCTGTGTTTGTAAACCAGATCAGTCATTCAGGAAAAAAACCCCACAAAAATACTTGGAAATAGCTGAAAACTTTTTCTTCAATTACTTCTGCTAACCACAGAGGAGGATTAATTCATTGATCAAAAAGACAGTAAGTGCTGCAGAATTACAGTGTGGTAGGAACTGAAGGCCCCATATAAAAACCCCATTACGGTACTGTATGAATTTTAAGCTTGAGTCTGCTCTTTGTCAGTTCATGTCACCACGGAGGCCTTTTATTCCCAGTAGACTGGAATCAAAATATCACTTTAACAGAAAGAAAACAGAAACCCAGGATGTTTGCACTGGGGATAAGAGACTCAAGGCCCAGTGTGGTGGGAAAAGCACTCCCTGATCTCTGAAAACCTGTCTGCCACTGTAGCTGAGGCCTAAGGAAAAGCGTTTTCTTACTTGCTGTTCTGGCAATGGAAGAGGGAAATACTGGACACAAGCCTTACAGAAAATCCAGTTTACTCATTACTACAGAAGTGTTCATGACAATGGAGAAAACAGATATCATTTGGGAGCTTGGCACAACTGCCAAAAAGTGCTACTGCTTGGAGGAAGAGAGGGAATGCAAAGACAAACTGCCTGGAGGTGGAGAGATGGGGGTGAGTCATAGCACATTTGGGGAGGAAAAGGCTACAGCCCCAGAGCCTTCATTTTGCTGTCATTTTTACAGCTTGTGGTGACTGCTAGATTCTAAAGTGGCTCTCCAGCAAATCATGGTAGGGAATATTGCAGTTTTATTTCATTACTCATCTCTCTATGCAAAACGATGTTGCCATGATAAGGATGATTACAGCTGGTTTTAGCTTAATGGAAAAGTAAGAGGATGAGGGAGAGAACAGACAATAAGAGCAGTGGATGTGAAGAAGGAAGACATACTAAATATTGCATAGCTTGCCCTTAAGTATACTTAATGCACCTGGGGTTTGCAGCAACCTTTGGAACTGAAGGGAATATAAAAGGAAGGTATCTCTAAGAGTGGGAGGAGGGGGGACTTCATCTGTGAAAAACCACTGCCTTTTATTACAGTGAACTCTCAGTTATCCCTTGGCAGTTGCTCCTGTATTTGTAATTAATCATGTCACCAAAGCAGAGATATAGCTGTGCAGCATAAACACCGATGCTGCTCCCAGGATCAGCTTTGCTCTTCAACAATGTAGACTCATTCACATGGTGGGAGTCCCAGGAAAATGGCCTTGGTAGCCTAATGGAGAACCTCATTTGGTGCTCCTATACCTAACACCCTCCCAAGCAGGAGCACATCTGATACTTAGAACTGACATGCACAGTCAGACCCCTTCTGTCTTTCACTAAGCACAACAGACGTCTCTGCTGCTTGCTCCAAGCTCCCACTGGTTCAGAACAAGGAAGAAAACCAATCGATTTCTCATTGGAGAGCCTCTGGCATGTGGAGAAAGCCCGTTTGACACAACACAGTGCTGCTCTGAACAGGACTTGAGTGTGCTGCTGCCATACAGCTGTGCTGATGTGACATCTGGCCAGACTTCATTAGCCCACTGACCTAACGAACCCTGTGCGCACTGAGCTGTCTTGAGATTCTCCAGCAGGGAGCCATGCTGCTCCCTGCAGATCAGGAAGAGCTTTCACTGTGAAGCCAGGATTACCCACAGCTACACCTGCACCACGAGCTCAGGCCCCATTTGCACCTGGCATCCTTACCCGGGTAGGTGCTGATGGTGTTGATGTGTGCTGTCCGGATGACCCCCACTCGGGTGCCACGGTTGTTCTTCATGCACATGCAGATGCAGATGGCAATCCCAGCAATCACTCCCATAATGAATACGATGCCGAAAACAATTCCAGCTATTGCCGTGCCTCTGCAAGGGGAATGGAAACATGCAGTAAGTCTCAGCCAAATAATGCTTAAAAAAACAGAATTCTTTCCTCAGGAGTGGCCTCCATTTGAGCCAAAAAAAAAAAAAAAGAGAAAAAAGTGCATACTGATTACTGCAAATGCTACAAATTTTGACCCATGAGGATATCTGGATAGAAGAAATGAAAGATTTTAGAGATCAAAAGGAGAGACTGTTTCGAAGTCACCTTTGTAATTGTGCCACATCACTCTCCTGACTTACTTATTGTACGTGAAATCATTCCAGGACCTTCTGCATTTAAACAATTAGATATCACCAAGAATAATTTCCTCCCTTTCTCCTCATCACACAAGACTTCTTCTTCCTAAAGGCATTGGTATGATTTTCTTTCTAAAAGAAAGTACAAGCTACTCCCAGTAATATATTCCAGAAGCATCCCAAAGTGCCTGCTTGCTGTGCTTCCACAGGAATGTTTTTGTCTTTATTTTATCTTGGGTCAAAAAGTCCTTTTGCTCTGCTTCTGAGCCCAGAGATTAAGGAGAGCCTGCTCTTCTTGAGGGTGAGCAGCAAAAAGCAAAGCAAGTGCCCATCCTTTTGCACATCTGCCGCTGCAGCCAGCACAAGTATTTGAGGCTTAAATGATTTCTTTTAAAATGGAACAAGGGAAGGAATTTAGCTCAGCCCCTGAAGTAATGAATCAGACTTTCCTTGAAATCGTACAGAAAAAGGACAGGAAGCCTCATTGCACTGATACACAGGAGAAAAGCCTCACTAAGAGGCATTGAGGAGCTCCCAGTAATATTGAGGGCAAAATGAGCCTTTCTCATGAGCATACAGTTCACTGGGGTTTGCTGTTAGGCACAGGAAGTGAAACGACGTGTGAATGACAGTATTTATAGCCTGTCCTGTTATGAAACAAAGCAGTGACCTGCCAGAAATGTTCTTACTCTGTGAATGTATTCTACCAGCAAGGATTTCAGGTAGCAACCTTGCTGGAAACTTTTTTACTGGACATTTTCATACATTCAACCCAAATTGACAGTTTGGTCAACAGAAATAAGCTCCACTAGGAATTACTGTAGTGCAGAGAATAAAACAGGTACAGTAGTACCACAAAGATAAATAATGAAAGGAGTCTAAACAGTTTATCTTCTCCATATCAACATGGCATTAAGCAGCAGACCTGGCTTCCAACATGTTGATAGCCTATTAGCTTCCACAGAGTCAGCAAGAGTCAGGGTAGACTCAATATGTGAAAGATCAGGATTGAAAAATCCTTTTATTTAGGAACCTAAGTATGAATTTAAAAGTTTGTTTTTATGTACCAGCTATTCATGAACTTGGATATGATTTGCAGTACAAATACAGAGTTGTACAGCTTGCTATCTTACTAAAATGCACTATTGGGGAGCTAAATCGCTCTCTGCTGTCATTTAGCAATAAATGAAGGGTGTGCAGGAACAGTAAGCCTGTTAGTATTTTGCAGAACACATAAAGGTTGAACTTATGAAACGCTAAAAATGCTAACTCATGGCAGCAAGCACTTGGCCACAAAACCAGTAGCTTAAAAGCCATTTCGGAGTACTGCTGAGACCAAAGCACTTTGGTATTCACCAGTATTAACAACTTCTTACAGACATCACCCCTTCCATTTCACCTTCACCAGAAGCATCGTGGTGACAGGGAATGCTCTTACAGAAACACTGCAAACCATTCCTCTCCCAGGAAGAAGAAACAGAAGCAGCTACCTCTGACCACTGGCCTCAGAACCTGTGCTGCACACCTGCAACCCAGGTAGGCCCTGCCAGGCCAATCTCCCAGAAATCCCAGAAAGTATAATTCTGTGCATTCCTGACTGGCTGCACATTCAGGAAAGCGTAACTTCCAGCCAAAATGTTGACATATATGGATAATGCACAAAATTGCACACAAATATAGCTAATATATCATGCAGTTACTTTCCAAGAGCTAAATTAAAAATTCTATCTTAATATAAGTCCAATTCAAATACCATTCAAATGAGAGTTTCTCAGCTGTCTCCCGAGGCAAGTTTACATGGATGCCATTTGGTTACCTGCCCCAAGCCATGGGTTGCACTAGCACCACAGCAAACATGCTTCATGCACCAGTGCTCATCAGACACCCCAGCTTACATTCTTCCTTTCCCTTTCTGCATGAACTGTTATTGCTCCAGAGCAGTGTCTCTCCACTAATTCAAATGCGGATTCAATTATACCCTACATGAGAAATGAGAGTGCTCATAAGGAAAGGAAAAAAGACAGCAAAATGTTGGATACTATCTTCAAGAGGAGTTTTCATTGATCCCAGGAAGTTACTACTTGACAGCTTGCTTTGGGTGACAGAAGTGAGAACTGAGGCCTTCCTTGCAGCCCTGCAGGTTCCCCTGGTCTCCGTTGTGCAGAGCTAGTTGATTGGCCCTGTTCTGTGCCTGCACAAAGGCATGGGCAGGGCAGGACACAGCTGCAAACAGCCCGTCCATGTCTGCCTGCATCTGAAATTCAGAAAGAGCTAGGTTTGGCTCCTATGTGCATATGCCTGAAATCCATCAGCAAAGCTTCCAAGCCTGAGAAGGCCTCTCAGTCTAAACATAACTTCTGCCAGGCTAGAGAGCCTGGTTCAGTAAGCAAATTAAGGAGTAACAGCTAACTGATCTGGGTGCTGGTCTCCAGCATGGCTCCTGCTGGTACAGCTATGCACTGGAACCAAAAACGGTCACCAAAGAAAATATTCATTTGCTCAGCTCTGTTGACAAAGCTAGTAAGTGCAAGTCTCGTTTGCTGCTCTGAAACCAGGACAGAAAGTGGTTTAAATAGCCAGGCCTACCGCTGCTCCCACATTCATGTTTTCACACCGCAGTGGTAAATTTAGACCATCCATGGGCAGTTACGCAAATGGAGGCTGAGATACAGAGAAGGAGATGTAGGTCACTTTTTAAATCTGGCTGCAGCCTGACTGAGCATCAGCAGAGAGGCATTTGCTGGCTTCGGTGGGATCCTAATCAGAGCCGGAGTCACACAGGTTGAACTGCTACAGCGACTGAGTGTTCTAATTTAAGGGGCACTGGTGGGGATGACATGGGGAGACGTGCTCCGACAAGGGAGCACAGGCAGTGACTGAGTCACATGCACACTCTGATGCAGGGATCTTCAGCAATCTGCCCCTCACAACAGCTCTGGTAAAGCCCCGTGATGATATTTTCCATTTTATCTCCACCACAAAGCTTTTCAAGGGAATCTGCCTAAGGGATAAAGGACACTGTAGAGCAAAAGAAGACCTAGAAACCACGCAGCAGAGTCACATAGCAACTAGGAAGTTTGAAACTGAGGGAAAACTTTGAAATGGAATAATTTAAAGGAAAACATTATGCAAAGTCATTTACAGAAGCAAAAGCATAGGATTAGAAAAAATGCCAGAGAAGAACAATGCACAGAAAAGTAAGAGGGAGAGGGGAGAAATAACTTTAAAGTGTGGAAATGTCAGGAGGAATTGTCAGGGTAAAAATCACATACAAAGAAGCAGCTTTGGGTGTGTTTCTAGCAACATCTCACAGGAAAGAACATAAATATCATTTACGGCTTAATGCTGCTGGTCAGAGAGAGTCCTGTGCAGGGGATCAGAGCCATGGAAGAGCTGGAGCCAAGCAGAGGGCATGGCCATGGTGCCCAGGGACAGACGTGTCATTGCCTGCTGGGCCTGGTGACCTGGATGTTTTTACACAGCTGACAGGGCATCACCAGCTGCTGCTCCAGCCTGGGAGGGTTGACATGACCAGAGACCAGGAGAGAAACTGAAGAGCAGCTCTGTTCCTTCAGGTCTTGCCACGCAAAAATGAAATTCACCTGGTACCACTTTCCCCTTCAGAAAGCTGGAGATTTGGGATGTAGGCAAGCAAAGTGGATGAAAAATTTGCTCAGATAAGCACTGTATCCAAGGTCATCTCCACCTTGGGCCCTAAAAATCTTACAGCTCAACAGGTTAGTGCTTCCAAAAGGAAGCTTAGGAATCTACTTTTAAATGTATGACCAAAATCTGTGAGCCAAGTCTCCATAGCCTGCACTGCTACATGGCATGGACTTCCTAGTTTGTTGTCATCCTTATATTGCCATGGTTTCTCCTTCTTTGGCTCTGCCAAAGAAGGTATTGCCTGGAGCATAACATTTTGCCTGGAAGCCTGGCTTATTAGTACAGAACTGCAAAGATGAGGAAAAACCTTTCCATCACCTTTTTCAGAAAGCCCACAGACCATAATGATGTCCTCCAAACATGATGATGGGGGCCAGGTTTCAGTATGTGCATCTACCAGTATCCTCACCAGGCAGCACCCATGGGTGCCTCCCTGGGACCGGGTGCTGTCTGATGAACTGCTCACCATCCCTATCTCTTTGTCTTCTAATTGTGCATGTGCATGTGTTGTTGTTCACAAGCAGGTGTTTTCTCTTGATTTCTGTTTCCTTCAGCTCTCTCCCTCCCTGGCAAACCTTTAAAGGCTTTCTTAATCTGGAAAACACAATAGGAGCAAGTAGCCAAAAAGATGCCTACAGAAGACTGAAAGAAAAATGCAAAAACCTGTGTTTCCCTTAGCTTCCACTATTGTTTTGCAGTTCAACAACTCTCTAATCCAGACACATACGCTCATGTTTTAACTAAAACCCTTTCTGCACTTCCCATTATTTTACAGACCTTTAGCATCATACCTGGAAGCCAGATCCCCCCATCCTGCAGGAGCCCTGTCATGGTTACCCTGCATATGGTGAATTTGATCATTCTGGTCACCCGCGCTTGCCCTTCTCATCCTATTCTGTTGACTTTTGAGGAGTGCATGCAGCAGTCAGGATGGAGCAGATGCATGTACTGTAGTAGGCGACTGCTACTATGAACAATGTACTCCACAGAGGCATATTAAATTTTCTGGTTTGTTCTCTATTTTTTTCTTAGATAATCCATGGTATCGGATCAGGCTGTCAAACGACTGGGAGATGAGA